GGCCGTTCAATTGATTCGTAATAAACCCGTGATGATAAATCAGATACAATGCATATATGAACGTTCATATATTTAGAACTGCGGTATTTTTTTTTTTCAGGTCTGATTTTCGCTATTGCATAAATAGCGCTCTCTACTGCGAGGAACGTGCATCATACGTATTTAATACCGCAGTTCTAAATATATGAACTTTCATAGTAACCTTTAAATTCACAGTACTTGATCGGTAGGCCACGCATTAGAGAAACTCTCATCGGATTAGAAGAAAATAAAACTGAGGAGCTCTACCATAACGGTTTTAACAGAAAAAGCGGTCATTTTGAAGAAAAGTTTCACCTTTTCCGTTTGATTCGCAGTCATTGCTTCAGGTGCACTGTAACGCCGATCTCCAGGATACATTGTCGTGGTGTGTTTCTTAAAATTAACGGTGCCACAACCTGAGAGCTTGGCTCGCCACTGTACCCCCTGTCGCCACAGTAACACCTTTGAACTGCTCACATTACGATGAAGAATAGGGCAGGGATGTTTTTGGTGGAGATAGTTTAGAGCTCGAGCGACATCCAGAGAAATAACGAAGATTTCTGTCTGACAGAGAAGTTGGTTCTCTAACAGTGCTTGTAAACTCGTTTCCATGAGCTCTGTTACATACAATTGACTTCCTTCGTCTTTTGTTGCTCCAATGAACTGCAGCAAACAAGGGTGGCGACAGCTTGAAGCCATAAGCATTCCTCGTTCAAATAGTGTATGATTGTAAGGACTTCTAACTGTCTCGTGGATTTGTTTCACAGCTACGACACATCCAAAATACTTGCCTTCGACCCAAAACCCCCAAGCTCCATGACTAAGACGTTTGTCCGTCAATTGAATTTGATCACGAGAAATAACCCAGTCTGGTGATTCTTGAGCTTTACGCTCAAATAACTTTCGTCTGGTTACTGAAAGAGTTGTTTGAAGTTCACTTATCTCATGGTCTCTCGCTCTTAACTGGTCTTTTAAGATAGCAACTTGACGCTTTAAAATGGACATTGGTTCATCTTTTTCATGTGGTTGCTTCCCGACACTTAACAATTCTTCTTTCACGTACTTCAGATCTCTAACTTTCTTTGTCACGTTTCTCAGCTGCTGCGCCATTTCCTCTAGTTCTCTATGTGAATCTTTCTCGCGCTGTTCCATTTCCTTTACGATTCTAGCCTCTCTTAACTCTTTCTTTCGTAGTTGCGACTGCAATCGTGCAACCTCCTGTTTCATTGTTCTTATTACCCATTTCAAATTTTCTTCTTGCTTATTTTTCTCTGTCTTTCCCTCTTCTATTGATAAGATGAAAATTATTCACAGTTTTTTTTCGTAATAGGGCTAAATAAAGGGACTTTGTCTGGTTTACCATTGAATAATTGTTACCGCATGATTGAAACAGATAGAAGGAGCAAAATTACTGGTGACGCAAAGGTTAGTGAACAAGTCTGAGGATAAAAGTGAAGTTTCAGTGATTTCCTTCTCAATCAATCTTCACCCACTCGAACGAATGTTTGAACTAATATATTTGATCCGGTTTCATGGGGTCTAAAGAGCCCTCTGACCAAAGGGGGCACCGCCATGCTGAATATTCATTTTCACCTGTGATGCTAATGAGAACAAGGAAAATATTTCAAAACTGGAACAGAATGTGGAAGTCTCATTTCTTTCTTTTCCTTATCATACTTCTGCCGTTCCATTCGTCCCTGTATCTTTCGCTTTTTTGTCGCCTATAAACTAACTACTCTTCCTACATACCCTTGCGACTTTCTCTCTTGAGATCTCCACCCTACGAATAAATAAAAAAGTTTTTATTGAAATGGTACAAAGTAACATCATCCCTTTAAAAATGTATCCTTGTTGACTCTCGTTCAAGTGTTACCCTTGTGATAGACCGGTCAAAACTCTCACTTGCGTGGCCTACTGCTTGGCTGGAAGCTTGTTCATCAGGAATCTTAATTTTTTTTTTCCTGAAACGATTTTGTGTCGCAGAAAGTGAACTGAAAACAGAGCTTAAGGAGAACTAAATTTACGCAAAGTTTTGAACACAACGACGTGCAACTATGTCTTTGGGGCTAGGACGAGTTTTGAAATTATCCTGGAGCAGTACAATTTCCATGCATTACCTTAAAGATCCCGTAATTTGAAATCCTCTCATTGAAAGATTAAAAAACCCAAGAAAACAAATGAGCGTTTTGTTTCCGTATTTGTCATACCTTTCTTTTGTTATACACGTTATTTTTCGAAGTTTCAAGTTTCAAAACTTTCTTGTGCAACACAGAGAAGAACTTTTAGAATAACGGACCATGAGCATTTAGAAGACCAAGTTCTATCTGACGTCGAATGTTTGTGTCAAACGCTAAGTAGGCTAAGATAACCACAACTACCAACCTCGTCCACGAGAAACTGTTTGTGTTTATGGTAGTCCTCCTCCCTGATTACAGTTCTCAGTTTCACTTCACTCAGAGAGAGCCTTTCTAAAACTTCTGAGGTAAAAAGTATCTCCTCGGCAACCTTATTCAGGTGGCCGCTAGAATAGTCTTTCCATAATCCCTCAAGAATTTCCAGTGAACTGCAAGCAGTGGTTATGCACAAACTTCCGGTACCGTAATGCAGTATGCGGAGCTTAAGCTGCTTCGATAAGTATTCCAGAAGCAGCGTAAAGGATTCTTTAAATGACAGAATGACTTTCCAGATGTCAGAGGCTTCTGATGGATTCTGGCCATTTCATTGATTTCCTCCAGATGTTGCTTCGGCAACCGGAGATTGTGGTCGCTGCTCTTCTACGGACAGCGGGGTCATACCTGTAGATCCGGGGCCCGAGTGGAAATGGGCTAAGTGTTGCTCTCTGCGAGAAAATCTCTCCAGCTCGAAGGTAATTAGAATAGAGTCTGCAACGCATAAAAATTTAACTTTTTACTCCGTTGAAAAATAAGCTTATGTGATTTTGAAGCACAGTGGTACTGCGTCGATCAAATCAAAGCTTCAACATCCCCACGGGCACCCCCTCGCCTCCTTTGGGTACTTGAACATTTGAAGGCTGATGTGTTGAATTCCCGCCTTCTTGAGGCCAAAATTGAGTTCAAATGCCCTCCCAAATGCCACGCGTTTTCTCAAGTTATTTCAGGTTTTGAATTTGTCATCACACTTTGTTCAAGCTTTTCTAACACCTCCCCCTGCTAAGTATTAACAATGCGTTCATCGATCACAACAAACTTAAGTTCAAACGGCTGACTTTCAAAAATTTTTAAGTTGGATTTTCCGTCCATTTCCGACTGCTTTATACCTGTAGAAATCGTTCACACTGTTTTATAACTAAGTTAATCAGTGACATTGGACACTGCGTTTTTTTCGACATATTCTTGTTTAACTGGTTTGATCACGTGTGTTTTGACATATAATAATCTGATTTCGTTTTAAGATTATTATGTTTTTTTGATCGAGCGAATTGATGTATGAGTGATTACAACAAATTAAACCAAGGTTAACGGAGTTTCGAATACGACTATTAAAATACCTTCAAAATGATTAGAAAACATGTTTTTGAATACTTTATGTGGAAAGTAATCGATATCAAAGTCCTACAAGCGACGGAAACAGCTTCCGTGTGCACGATGCTCCGATTCCCCTAAGGGATACGCATTATGGCCATTGAGTGATAATCGAACTTTCTGACTTTTAGTGGGCCTAGAGACAATTTAACGATTCCACGGCCGGGTCAATATTATGTTTAAACTAAGACACGCGTCCGTAAAGTGTTATTTAAACGAAGGTTTTGGGTCAAAACGGACAACTTCTAGAATTTTCTACATGACGCAACGCAATCTTCTGGCCGCCAAGTCAAGTAAACAACGATCTAGGCGCGTGTTTCGTACACGTAAGAAGTTCGTACGTTTTTCACTTCTAACAGTCTACCAGGGAATGATTTAAATAAAGCTTTCGCCTTGAAATATTTCTTGGTCATTTTCGTCTT